CACTGCGACTGTTACTAGTGACGGGGACCATTCACCGCTACTACTGCTACTACTACTACTACTACTACTACTACTACTAGTACTACTACAGGCCAGGGTGCGTTGAAGATGATCAGCAGCCGCAAGGAGCCCGTCATCTCCATGAGCTGTCCAAGGGCGGTTCTCTCGGATGTTTCGGCGATTCTGGCTATTGAGGGCTCGGAACAGCCTTGCGGGAATGCTAGAAGCCATCGTCCAAAGCACATTTGGGGCAAGTCTTGCTTGACTTCAACCAACAGAGGTGTCAATTGATTGCTCCCTCTTCGGGCTCGGAGCGAGGTCTGACGCCTCCCCAAGGCCCAAGGGGCAGATGTACAAAATACTTTGGCCAGCTTCACAAACGCCTTGATGAACTCCGGCACACACCCAAACGTGCCCAAATTCGTCGCATGGGAACCCTAAACCCGCAAACCAAGCAACCCTAAACCACGGCCTTGTGGAGGGTCTTTACCATTCGTGCCAGCCGAATGAGACGAACGACTCGCACGACTCGGAGCACTCGAACTGCGCGGGCCTGTGAAATGGCCGTGTAGGGATCGGGGGGGTGCTACATGATGTTATGTTGTTAGGTGTATTATATACCATATTGTATTAGATTTGACTTCTCAGCCAAAGACGTAGGGGAATTGGTCTCCGCTAAGGAACAAGTCACATCTCACCGTCACTCTCCACTCCCATGCGAGGCCCGTGCCGCTCGGAAAGCGTTGAAGCCCTGAATGAACTCCGTGATGCGAGAGGCCCACTCGGAGCCAACCTTGGTGACAAAGAAGAGTCACAACCGCCTTGAGCATTTACACTACTAGGTGCTTCTGACTTCTAATACATGCGAGATTAGATGGCGGCGTTTTGTCACAGGCTGTCTGCCGCGGAAATGACGTCTCTACCATCAAACAAAGCTGCCTGAAACACTCTGAGGCAGGCACGATCGCGAAGTCCACGGCAAACCTGTGAAGGTCGCAATGCTAAACCCCAGTATACCAAGACCCCCAACCACCTAAACCTTCATTTCCTGTACTGTAAATTTGCAAACCCCTACAGGCCCGAACACCTGAAATATGAACCCCTAAACCCGACACTGGGATTTGAGGATGCTTGGGCAGACCCTAAACCCTAAACCCTAAACCCCACCAATCTCCAGCCAGGCTGCCAGGTGGTCAGGTAGTGGTAGGCGACCTCACTGGCGACCGAGGCTACAACCTCCCTTTACGAATTCTTTGCTTAACTGTATTGCAATGAATATGTGTAAATATATGTATATACACATACACCTACTTACTGATATGTGGATATCCTAGGGTAAAGGGTCTATAGGGTACGACTAGCATTCGCAGTAGTATCACAAACCTAAGCAACGGTGTGGTCGGGGTGCCGTCCCTAGCTCGGACTCTGAAGTTATCGAAGCTGCAGTAAGAGGCAGCTGAGCTTTCGTGGATCAGTGTATTTGGGTTTTGGGCTTTGGGGTTTAGGGAAGGTTTAGGGTTTAGGGGTTTAGGGTTTTGGGCTTTGGGGTTAAGGGAAGGTGGGGATTACCACACCATAGAACGTCTGGCAACTTCTGCCCTCCCCCGCCTGGCGCGGGGCCATGACCACTTCCGGGCCCACTGTGTATCCCGTCCTTGGTAACAGGTGTCTCACCACGAAGCCATTGCATGAAAACCCTGGGACCTGAGATCCTGGCACGAAGGTCATGAACATATCAATCTCAGTTTGTTGACGTGACTTGACATATCACTCCCAACTGTTTGCTGATGCTTGGCGCTGTCCAACTTCCACACTTGCCGTATCTGTAAGTGAAACAGCAGATCCGGGCACTGACAATCTTGTGTTAAGCTCGTCGCAGACCAGAAGATCGTGCAAACCCATTCAACCTAGGCTGCAGCAAACTGCTCAACGTGTCTCGCGGCTCTGCGGCTTTGTGACGGCAGAAGAGACATCCTGATATCATAGTACAGGTACGATGCAACATGATGCAACAGCTGTGGTGGCAGCCCCAGAGAGCCCCGGGACTGCAACTTATGCAGTCGAGAAGCAGCAAGCACTTCCACGGTCTCCGAGATGCTCATGCCATAGATCATGGGGAGCATGATGACATCGAAGCCTGAAGGCTCGCAACATCTCACAACCCTTCAGCCCATAGCCTGCATGGGCTGCTGACTTCCGCACGGCTCTTGTGAGGCAAAGCGAGCTTTCGGATTCAACTGGTGAGGCTGCCGTTTCGACACCACCGTTGTCTTCATCAATATCGCAGCTATGATGATCATGACACGTCTACCTCATAAAAACCGTCGTCCTTGCCATCATCGCCAACATCATGGCTTCATCGGAACAGGAGCAGGTTGGGACAAGCAACCTACTAGACAGATGCACATGGTGGCAACCTTGCACAAAGCGTTGAGAGCGAGGGCATATCTAGAGGGACGATACAGTATGGCACAATCGACATGCTTCGCGAAGATGCGGTGATCACGACTTTCATGCCACGTTCTAGATATCAGGAGCTCCCGAATCACCTCCCCCTCCTTCGGCAACGCTAGATACACGCGCTAATTGAAATCAAACATAGAATGACGGACTCCAGCATTGCCGCTTCCTTGCTGTCGCCAGCTTGCGGATGGAGGATTTACGTGATCTTCCCGAGTGTTTGGAGACTTCTTTCAGTGGGTTTCTTGGGAACTTGACAGGCTCCAGGCCTATCATCGCCACGCTCAGGGCGTCCCAGAACAACCTTAAGAAGACTCGGAAGGAGAGGTGACTACTCGACCACTCTGCATAGCGGCATCGAAATCCCCATGTCTGCACTGTCCGCTCCGCAGACAGCGACTCGCACACACCTTCTACAGGCAAGCTGTGCGAGCGGCCTCTTCTTGGACTGTGGATGGAGCATCCTGCCGGCAGCATGATGGACGCACTTCTGTCTGCTGTCGGAAAGCGAGGATGTTCAAGCTGGCAACAGCATTCTCACACTAGCGCGACATGGGCGAAGTCGGTATTCCTGTGGCCCGCGGCGGCCCCTGAGACATGCTATCGGCTATCGACGTTTAGAGTACAGGATTGCCAGCCCGGCTATGGCCGACAGTCGCTCAGAGTCGCTGGGAAGCAGCGCATTGGGTTTGCCTCGAGCGTCTCCAGCAAGGTTTCCGCTCTGCTTGAGCGTCTGTGCTGTCGGGATTGCCTGCAGAGAGTCGCGGGCTGTGAGAAGCACCCCATGCGTCTTGCAATCCGAGACATCCACACAGACAGTTCAATGAAAGCTGATGTCTTGTCGCTTGTACGGACAACTTCTCGAGGGCAGCTCACAGGACAAACTGTGGGTATTCTTGCAGCTACCACTCGTTTCGATGACGGAGCCTTCGCCAGAACCGTTGCCACCTCGGTGGTAGAAACGCCCAAGTTTACGACAGAGGTGACCAGTTGACAATCATGCTACAGGCAGCGAAAACCGCACATTCCTGCTGACATACATGCTCCTTCGTGCCCGCAGCTCGCTTCGAAATTGGGTTGCGAACCCATAGCAGGACCTTAACGCTAACACTGTCATCATAAACCTTTGACCTCTGAGTTTAAGTCAACCCAAGGTGGTACGAGCATTGCTTGAAGTCAACTCAGGGAAATTCAAGTACAGTTCGACAGTTTGCAGTAGGACTCGACGAGTAGGCTGTGGACGCATGAGGTGCCAGACGCATGGAGTTCAATAGGATGCAGGAAACTTGCAAAGCAGCCCAATGCTGTCGAGTCTAGTACACCGAGAGATCGTGACGACGCAAACTCAGAGCTGCGAGCAATGTATGGTCATAGGACCCACAGCTCATACCTTGAGCTGCGGGCAGAAAAAAACACAAACACGATTGCCGCTCGTCTGCAACCACGCCGCGAGGAGTATGATCCGGCTTTTTGGCATACTTCTCGGCGCAGTCTTCCTCGGTTGTAGTCGATGCTGCTGAAGCCAAAGTCTTCGAACAACTTTGGAAGATGACTCAAAACCCCAAGAGCTTGAAGTCAAGCCTTTCCAGTGTCGGAACGCATCAAACTCATCAGAGCAGCTAGGAAGTTCTGGAACTCCTCCTCTTCATCGCCTGTCGGGTGCGCCCTCCAACCGCTAGTCTACGGGCTCCTTAACCGTAAATCTGAAACCTGAAACCCTGAAATAGACCTGATACCCCACAACCTTCAGCCTGAAGCCTACACGCCAAACAGCACCCAAAATCCGCAAGCCCAAACCGTCTACCAGGTTCAGCACAACATGTAGGATGATGCAGGCATGCTGCACAACTCATGGTAATTGGTGTCTGTATGCACTCATGCCTGCTTGCATGAGTTCAACAATGTATAAACGCATGCGTAGTAAGTTATCAACAAAGAGCAGATCAGGTACGAAATATTAAATCTATGTATGAGCGAAGAGAGATATAGATATATGCATATTATATGTGTACACACTATGACGGTAACAGGCCCCCTGAACCCAAAGCTGAATCTTAAACAGCCTCTTTTAAGAATCCTTTCGGTTGATACTGATGGTGATGATATACCAAAACGGCAAATTTAACAAGGCATTGATTCCTAAGGAAGAGCTGGATGCTCTTCACATTTAGTTCCTGGAATATCGCAGCAAAACTCAGACTTACGCAGCCCTACACAGCTCCGCACCATGGCCTGAATCGTCCTCTTTGGCCCAGGCGTCCTTGGGAGTGAAACTCCAGGTCTTGGACCTTACAACAGTCTTCGCCAGGACAGGCTCGCGCACAGAGAGGTGGGTATCCCAAACCCCCCATGTACCTACTATATAGGGTACTAGAGCCCCTAAGGCCCTTTATAGTAGGTACCTGGGGGGTTAGGGTATGTCACCTCTAAACGTCCGGTAAAAGCCAGAAAGCCAAGAAGTCCGTGTAGGAGGCAATCGAAGACAAGAAGGCATCTTTGACACAAGACTGGGTCGCCTGTTGGCTTACAAGGCTGGGCGCTTGACGTTGCCAATGCAGCTGATCATTGCGGCCAAGAGGCGCTGTCCCTGGTGCCATCGACTTGCTGATCAGCAGAGAGTCCTGCTTCCGTGCACATGCAGATGTAGACTTCACCTGTAGTCTCCATTGTAGTTCCTTTTTTGGTTTAACCAATTATATATTAAGGATTTTATAAGGCATCCCCAAAAGGGAACTACAATGGAGACTATAGGCAGATCTTGACAACCACAGGGAGACAAGCTATTGAAGAACAGTATGGCGCATACTCCGCGCATGGACAAGCCATGTTGCGACAGGCGTTGCAGCTACCAACACGGGTCCGAGAACACGGAGGATCGGCGACTCCTGCAGCTGCCGAGCACTTCCGGGACTTCCGGATGAAGGGTTCAAGGTGTGGTCTTAGAGAAGCTGCAAGCGATGGTCCCCGCTGGCCTATCAGCACAGAAAAAAAATGGATCTGAAGCGCGGCAGCACGGCTGCCCTTTCAAACTCTGGTCATGACTTGTCAACCGAAGGCAATAACCTATCTCGCAAAGTGTTGAGTGTCCGAAAGGCCTGGCAGTCGCGTGACCGCAACTATTGACGGTTCTAGACTATAGACATCCCATTTAGACCCAGGGTCCTGAACTGATAATTACAATGAGGATCCTTCAAACGGCGTGCTTTGTCCTGTCGTCTGCGAGGCCTTTGATCATAATACAATCGTTTCCTCCCCATCCTGAAAACCCGGAGACCGGGCAGAAACATCTCAGCGCCGTGCGGACTTCGCGCATCGATGGGAAGCCGAGTGGGCAAGTGTGTGCTGCTAGGTGTTCCAGATACAGACCCACCTGGCAATCGAAGCGGCGGCACTGGCCATCAGCACCGGCGAAAGGCATCAATGCAAATTGACAGTGTTAGGATGCCACATGGATAGCTGTAGAACACGATCGCAACAGTCGTCCTCGGCGATGCGGACAGCATCGGCATCATCATCCACAGTATAGTAGTAGTAGCCCTACCAACTACACTTGCTTAAAACCATCTTAAGAGCACATCCGTTTTACTCGGTATTTACAGCACTTTCGTCATGTACGATCATCATAAGAGGTCTCAAAATCCACTTGCCGAGTTTGCTAACTCGGCCTCTTGATTTTGGACTTGGTGCGGCGGGGGCGGGTGGGGGGGTCGGGGGGGGATGATGACGACAGTGTTACGCAAACACAACCAACAATATCACCAAAAGAGCCGTTTTGCTCGGTATTTACAGTACTTTCGTGATGTCCTACTTTCATATATGGTTGCCACCCCTACTTCTGGACTGTGCGTCTTAAACTTTGCTGTCTCGAACGGAAAGCCGAAAAAACTCGAAATTCGCTGGGGGAACCGTTTTCCTCGGTATTTACAGTACTTTTTTTCGCGACCGCGCTTTTACTCG